GCAAATCATACTGGGACAGGTGTTGGGATCCACACTCAGATGTCACAGGCTTTGCTCATGGTAATCTCCCCTGGAGTCCAATCCACAGTGGTGGACCAATATCGTAGTGACTCACAAAAATGTTACTTTTTTTTGGTTAGCTTTCCTTAATGATATTGAGCATTCCTTTCACCTCACTCCTAGGAACGTACAGGTATAATTTCACTAAAGCAAGAAGGAACCCACCCCAGATGAACCCCTGTGCTCCCAGGCAGTCTAGGTGGACCCCCTTCCCCTCGTGATGTACAGGGAACTACAAACTGACCCATACCGTGCCCTGGATGAAGAACTTGTAGACCATGTGAATAATTAGGCAGGACCAGAAGACATGGAGCAGCTGCAGAATTATCAGGAGAACATTCACGAAGTAGTATCCAAAGAAGGGCTGGAATATCTCCATGGAGTAGTAGTAGGTGTTATAGAGCACTCTGCAAGAGAGAGGGAATTGCAATGGAGGGAAAGTGCTTTGGTAGAAGGCTCATAATTAAGCCCCAGAAAGCTCTAGACACAGAGGAAGTTTCAGGTCAGTCACTTCCTTCTTACAGATAACATGTGAGCCAAATTTCAGTTCCCCACCAGAAATAAGCAGGTAGAGCCATAGGCCAAGGCCTCCTCCCCTGCAGTAGCCTTCTGGACTTTAAGACCACTCTATGAACTCCAAGGCAGACCACCCTAGTTTACTCCAAGACAGGTGCATCAGCCATGGGGCACTGTAGCCTATGCAGGGACATATGCTCAAGGACTGAGAAGCAAAGGCTGCAGCAGAAGATTTAGCACCCAGCTGAACTATCCTGTCCCTCAGAAGGCAGCTTCTCCATTTCCCTTGACAGCACCAGACTCACGTGTAGGGGAAAACGACCAGGCGGCTGATGAGGAAAACAGCTGAGAAGATCATAAAGAGGCTGTCACAAGTTTTTTTCCACTTCATGTAATTGAATATCTTAGTTGGCTGGAAGGAGAAAGAACAATAAAAATATCAGGCCAAGACAGTGCATCTGCACGTGCTCCAGAGGCCAATGAGCCAGACATGATACAATGTGCAGGCGGGTGATCACACCTCCTCCCCGCTTGCTCTCTGCAGGGCACCCTACGCTGGGTCAGGAGACATCACTGAGTTATCTGTGACACATGGTAATGCTTGGCCTATACTGAGCTAGATCAAAAGATTCCCTTTGGCTGAAGAGCACCATTGCTAACTAGGCTTTGCTTGGCATGTAAGATGTGGAAGCTCACCTCTAGGAAGCAATCAGAAGCATCATGAATCACCAACACCAGCGTCCCAATGCGGATGTAATTGGCACAGTATGAAAAACTGATCAGGAAGATGGTTGCAGCGTGATGGACTATCTGCTCCTTGAAGTCCTGATGAGAAAGGGGACAACAGAGAATAAAATACGTGATGCACCTTCTGCCTTGGTTAAATCATGCCTCCTGCAGGTAGCCATGAAATCTCTCTACCCGATGACTAAGAAACCTCCCACCACAAGGTCTAACCCATGTAAGTCTTTTACCAAACACATTCTAGAAATGTAGGCAACCAATGGACCCAGGAATGAAGAGCTGTGTACCAGACACCAAGGTCAGGGCAGAAGGAGGAGATGCTCCAGGTACAAGAGCAGAGATTCCCCTGCAACTTGTCGTGAAGACCATGGCGAGACAGGCTGTCCCCCTGCAGCCCATGGAGGTCCATGGTGGAGCTGATGTCCACCTGTACCTGTGGAGGACCCCACGCTGGAGCGGGTGGATGCCCAAAGGAGACTGTGACCCCGTGGGAAGCCTGTGCTGGAGCAGGTTCCTGTCAGAACCTGTGGCCCCATGGACAGAGGAGCCCAGGCTGGAGCAGGTTCCTGGCAGGATTCATGACCCTGTGGGGTCCCATGCTGGAGCTTATGGTGTAAACGGAGGACCTCACAACAAAGAACACTCTCTCCCTCCACCACTAATGGTCTGATGATGGTGCAAATCAGAAGACAAAAGAATAAGACCCAATGATTCAGTACAGTTTCAATATAAAGAGAGCTTCCTTTCTGTCCCAAAGCAGTGCCCGTGTCCATCTCTGCTCTGTGCCCCGTGCGTGCCTGTTTGCACAATCATCTCACACCCCCAGGGTTGCTGATGGAGACCCACAACCACCCTTGACTTACAAGGTGTGTATATTCGCAGCCTCAGTGCCCACGTGTGCCTACGTGATCCCGCAGCACCCTGTCTGTCAGGGCACTGGCACCTAGGAACACATGCAGCTTAACTGTCTCTATGATCACTGCAGCCTAGAAGAGTCCCAGAAGAGCAATTTTGAAGTTTGGACTTTAAGTTTGGATTGAGAACTCTGCAGGAGTCTGCACTTTGTGTTCACTTCCCAGAGGAGAGGGAATCCAGTGACTGTGAATGGAAATTACAGAATCACAGAATTGGCTCAATAGGAAAAGACCTTTAAGATCATCAAGTCCAATTGTTAACCCAACGCTGACAAGTCCCCTAAACCATGACTAACCCATGTCCCTCAGCACTATGTCTCATATACCTCCAGGGATGGGGACTCCACCACTGCCCTGGGCAACCCCTTCCAAATTCCTTGGAATGAGCAAGGACGGAATCCCCCAAAACCTCAGACTAGTGCTACACACATGCTCTTGGAGATCACTCTCCCGAGTGTTCAGCTTGAGTCCTGTTTGTGCTTGGTTCTGCCCCGAAGCTGCCACTCACCTTCCTCTTCACATCAAAGGGCAGGGTGAAGACCAGCGACCAGTAGAAGGAGAGCTCCAGCATGTAGTACCAGAACAGAGAGGGCAGGAGAGGCTGTGAGAGAAGGAGAGACAGTGAAATATCCATCAGATAAAGCAGAGCAAGGGTTGGAAGTGAAGACTCTTCCTAGGCAAAAGAATATCAACCAACCAAACCACCAAAATTGGTTCCTGCAGCTTCAGGGGGAAATAACTCAATTGAACAATGTGGTTACTTACTAAATGTCATCTGTGCTGAGATGAAAGCAAATAGCAGGGGAAATTCCATGTTGCTGCACCATGTGGAACATTGAGAGAACCACTGGGAAGATCCTGAATATTTTTAGGATTTCTTCAGCACTACGCAGATTCCTGAGCAGTCAGTACAGAGCTTTAAGAACTGTGGAATCTGCAGTTTAGGCACTGCTAGTTCAGTTCTTTTACCAACCTCAGGTCATGTTTGAACATGGAAATATTGACACTGAACAGAAAACATTATGAATGCACAGATCATGGCCAAGAACAACATAAAGAAACATCCCATCCTATGAATGCACTGATTCCAGAAGTCTTAGTCTGGGAATTTACTGTAACTCTTTCACAGTTCCTCCCAAGGAGCAAAACAATATCATTGTAGCACCTACTTGCAATGTACCACAACTGCATACACCCTTCAGACATTACACTGGACTAAAGACACCTGCCCAGGTTGCCCAAGGAAGTTGTGGCTGCTCCTCCCTGGAAGTGTTCTCGGCCAGGCTGGATGAGGCTTTGAGCAACCTGGTCTAGTGGAAGGTGTCCCTGCTGCTGGCAGGGGGGTTGGAACTGGATGAGCTTTTAGGTCCCTTCCAACCCAAACCAGTCTATGATTCTATAAACCATTTTACTATGGTGATATAGATAAGTAGTAGCTGAATAAATCATTCCCTTTTTAGGATTCAAGGAGATGCTTCAGACACCCTGTACTCTTACCACAGATTTTTCAGTTTAATCAAACTAATGGGGTGAAAATGCAATCCCAGCATGAGCAGTAATCTGCATTCTTCTGCAAAATTTTTCTGGTTTTACAGCTGGAAAACTAAAAGTTTAGACCCACTCAGCAAGACACGTGCTATTTAACAAGTAATTTTGTGCTGTTGTGGCACTATATGGCCTCCTTAAACCTGAACCTATTTGATTAAAAAAAATTACTATGATTAAAGGGGCTTTGCAACCAGCATTTCCAAAGACTCATGGACTATGGTGCTCCCAAGTACCAATCTGTTTGGGCTTTCTCTACCCAAAGTGTTGATTTATGGTCTTCATAGATTTTAGTTTGTTTTCCTTTGTAGCACCAGGGTTTGGCCACAAGAGGAAGCACAGCTGGATGCACTGGTGCCACCAGGGGGGATATCAACATCTCCCAGGCCGTTATGTGCTACTCACACTCTGGAGGTTATCGAAACAGGAGCTCTGGATCAGAAGGGATTTTTTTTCCCCCAAAGATTAGATTATTTGGGAGAACTGGTGTTCAGCATTGTCTGTAGCACAGGGCATGGTCTGTTTAGCAGAAATTGTACTTCATACATTCTTTGTTCCTGCTAATCTACAGGTCTGTCATTGACCCTTCTTGCTCTTTGCCAGAGGGACATTACTAGCTCTGGTTTTGGTCTTTTCTTTTTATTACAGATGTTGGAAAGTGTGTGTTTTGGGTTTATGTGGAAAGGTTTTGGTATTGAGGGGGCTTGCAGGGGTGGCTTCTGTGAGAAAATGCCAGAAGCTGCCCCATGTCCAACAGAGACAGTTCCAGACAGCTCCAAGATGGACCTGCCACTGGCCAAAGCTGAGCCCATCAGTGATGCCGGTAGCACCTCTGTGATAAGATATTTAAGAAGAGGTAACAACTGCTGCTCAACAGCAGCTGGGAGAGTGGAGTAAGAACATGTGTGAGGAACAACTCTGCAGACACCAAGGTCAGGGAAGAAGGATGGGAGCTGTCTTGCTACTGGCCATACTGACAGCTCCACTGGGAAACGAACTCCCTGGGGAGCACTGTGGACACAGCTCTTCAGTACAACTGAAAGCACACGGCATTCAGAGCACGTCTCTGCTCTGCATACACTCCACTGAAGTCTTCACTACTTCTCCTCAGGTGACATGTCCTTCTCTGGCCTCAGACTCTTCTAGAAACTAAAAGACCTTGGAGCACTCCCGTTTTTCAGTTTCTTGGCTCACGTGGTGAGAACTCTCACTTTCCCTTTATTTCTGCCGTCTCCTCCTGCTCTCCCAGCTCATTCTGTGTTTAGATTACATCAGATACAAAGATATTCTTGACGAGGATTTGGCTTTAAATTCATAGGGCTCATGAGTCTGAATTTAATTCAGTGCCCTTTCTTTTGTCACTAATATAATCTGATTTTCAAAAGATATAGAAAGACAACACATGATTTCTAACAGCAATTTTCCCTCTCACGTGACTCACCTGTTGTGGATATCCCGTCCAGCACTCTCTGTGGTCCCAAAGCCAAGGCTTCTGGAAAGAAAACACAACATGAATGTGAGAATGCCAGAGGAATTCTTCTCTTAGCAACTCATCAACTTATCTCCTACTACTACAGCCTTTGTTGTATTTTATTACAGGCAGAGGTGGTTGCACTGTCTGGAATTCAGTTGCCAAAGAGATTCCCACTACAAGAACTTGCAGTTCCTTGTGACATTGCCAATTTGTGGCTATTGAGCTGAAATTTCACATGCTGTTTAGCCCAGTTCCAAATAAAATAGCTCAGGGAAGATTTCTACTAACTTGCTGCAGCCTTCTACAAGTTTGGAGTGGTGGTGGTGGCAGTTTTGAACATATTAAAATATTCTTATAATTATTTAATTAAGAATCTCTGTGGTTGGAACAACAACACTTAAACGTGGTAAGAAGACAGAAAATTTGTGTGTCAGGAACATGCTTTTTCCTCTAATGGTGAGGATCATGCTGCAGTCTGATAAGTAAAGAACCTCTGAAAAGATTCTACTTTGTTCACACTTCATAGAAAATGGGTAGTTTAGAACTTGGCAGCTTCAAAACTTTCAGAAAAACATGGCAACTAAAGTCTCCAAAAGTTCTTCCTGCATGGAGCGTGCTCTGACCCTTTACTGTGCCCAGACTCCATCAGAACCAGCATGTCCTAGAGCCTACAGTGATGGAACATACTCTATGCATATCCAGAAGGGTAATTTTCTATAACAGTTCTACAAGGCTCCAGATATCAGAGCTAAGAGCAAGAAGGTGACGTTTCTCCTCCCACTGAGCACCTGCTGGTGGACCAGCAATGAAAGGGAAGCAGGAAGCAGTGTTTTTTCCATGAGCAGTGGTAATTAGGAGTAGACACAGCCTCCTGCTGTCTGGGAGTGGGGTTGGGAGTAGGACCGACAGCAAACAGAGGTACAGAGCCAGGAGAGATGTGTGATATGGAATCAGAGAGGACAACGCAAAAACTCTGAACCAACCGTGTTACCTAAACTAGAAAGGAACCCAGATCCCCAAATTTCCTCATTCCTCTACTCTCAGCAGATAAGGCTGTTTTCTGGTGGCCTACTGTGAGAGAACTTTCTATTGCTATTTCCTATTTCATTGACTCACAGGGCAGAGGTTTTTGCCATCAGTCTAAAGCTATTAATATAGAATTTAAACATTTGCTTTTTTTTCTAAAACAAGAAGGGTTTTTCACAAAAACAAGTGCATATTAAAATACTAAGATTATAAAGTAAACATGCAACAGTTGGGAAACATCACATGCAAATACACCCCATCACATTAATTCTTTGTCCTTCTTTTCGATGTAATCATTTTGGTAAAATTTTAGATAACAGAATGCTATTTGCTATGGGATCTAGAGGTGTTGTCTGTAGGACAGAAGTCTCCTTTTTTTTGTGCAAATTGGAAGATGTTTACTGAATAAAGAAAAGACTTTAATTAAGATTATCTTTCATTCCTAGAGTGGTCAGACAACATGCAGAACAACAGGATTTTGCCCTTTCTGTTGCCACAGGGCTCTTGTTCTATGCTAAGCAGGTAATTTATACCAAACTCTCATAGCTGGCCTCAAAGAATAGCCTTCTGTTTTGATGTACAGATCCACAAAACACTGAAGTTGGGATTTAGATACCTTCACTCCTCTGCTAGCTCATCCTGTAATCCTCGTCCCTTAAATTCTGACTTGAAAGTCAGTCTAAGTTCCAAAGTTCTTCACTTGTTATGACGACGAGAAGTTACAAGCATAGTTTGTGCTGGCTGTCTTGGCATCTGCAGGTTTTCCATAACTTAACCTCTCAGAAAGTGCCAGTGTAGCACTTTTGAAAAGCTTACCTAGGGAACCGGATTCAGCAAAAGAGCCAGGGGAACCTTTAAAACACAGCCAGAGGATGACCGGTGGGCTTGGCCCAGCTTAGTGAGCACAGCTCAGTGATTAGAGCGTAGGCATGGTTTCTATTACCTCTTCTGCCTGTTGAGGGAGTTCAATTTGTATCAAGAGAACTCATTATTTACCAAATCAGAGAAAAGGCAGAGGCATGAGCCTGAACCAATCACACCTTGGGTAAGGAAAAGAAAATTAATACATAAAATTATTAAATTGCAGCCCATGCTCCAAAGGAAGTCTGAGTTTTTTACCTTAAACACGTATTGGTTACAACACACAAACATGCCCTGCAGCTTCCATGTCAGGTAAGTGTTCCACCTCCCACCCCACAGAAATGTATTTTTACACAATCCCAATTGTCTTCTGCTTTGCCAGAAGAAGAGGAAAGCTCTTGGTTTTGAGCTGGAGTTTTTAAAACAAGCACGGTCCAATATGTTTGTGGTCTCACAAGTGTGCTGTGTGGAGGATGCACACTGACCTGGAGGGAAAACCTGTACAAGAAGGTCTGAAGGGACATGTTTGACAACAAAATCTGTCATTCTTGCAGGCACTGGCTAGGTAGAACAGCAGGTGGCACTGCTTGTGTACTCACATCGTACAGGACAGCAAGTCCAGTGACGAAAGAAGTGATGTAAAATATAAACCTCCAGCTACAAACAAACAAAACAAAGTACATTAGAATCCCATTCATGAAGCACCAAGCTGCAATTCTGTGCATCAGTCACACTCGTTCAAAGAATGGCACTATCAAGGCAAAGGCATACATTCTTGTGTTCAAGGTTTGCCCAGACCATAACAGGAGTGGCTCTCTGCATGTCACAAGCACATTGAACAGACTTCACAAAGAGCAATTCTTCTGCTGTAGAGGTGGCAGAAAATACAAGAATCTCACTGACCAAAATCACCCAGATGATCATCCCAAACCTTCCCAGCACTACCAGATGCATGGGCAAAAGTCAAACAATGCCAATCTCTTTCCCAGGCTTTTGGAGACTAGGCATGCTAAATTCATTATCATGCAAAGTCATTAATTACTGTCATGTCTGGTCTCAGGCAGGAGCTGGTAATGATTTACCCACATTAAAACCACACAGAAGCACATATGGACTGTTGGTCAAGTTCAGTGGACAGAGGCAGGTCACACTGAATATACACACATAGAGAAAGGAGGGAGGGGAATTTCACCCCAACAGAATAAAAAAGCTTTTAATAAACAAAACACAGGAAATCTTCAAAGGAGTAAAACTGTCTAAATAAGTCCTTTAACTTCCAAAAATCTCCATAACAAATGAGAAGTAACCACATTTTGAGAGACTCTACTGTCAACGAAACGCCCAAGAGCTCCAAGATGGACATAAACTGTACAAAGCTGCTACATCACGTTGGAAAGACATTCTTTCTACAGACTGCAAGTGGTGACAGAGGGCAGCTGGAAGGACACCATCCTCTGTGAGCTGAGTCAGGAAAGTATTTACTACTTACTATTTACTGTTACTGTTTCACAGAATCACAGAAGCACAGAATGTTGGGGATTGGAAGGGACCTCGAAAGATCATCCAGTCCAATCCCCCTGCCGGAGCAGGAACCTAAATGAGATCACACAGGAAGGTGTCCAGGCGGGTCTTGAATGTCTCCAGAGAAGGAGACTCCACACCCTCCCTGGGCAGCCTGTCCCAGGGCTCTGTCACCCTCACAGGAAAGAAGTTTCTTCTCAAGTTGAAGCAGAACCTCCTGTGCTCCAGCTCACACCCACTGCCCCTTGTCCTGCCATTGGGCATCACTGAGAAGAGCCTGGCTCCATCCTCCTGACATTCGCCCTTTACATATTTATAAACATTAATGAGGTCACCCCTCAGTCTCCTCTTCTCCAAGCTAAAGAGCCCCAGCTCCCTCAGCCTTTCCTCAGCAGGGAGATGCTCCACTCCCTTCATCATCTTGGTGGCTCTGTGCTGGACTCTCTCCAGCAGTTCCCTGTCCTTCCTGAACTGTGGGGTCCAGAACTGGACACAATATTCCAGATGCGGCCTCACCAGGGCAGAGTAGAGGGGGAGGAGAACCTCTCTTGACCTACTAACCACACTCCTTCTAATACACCCCTTGTTTACTTCAAGGCAGCTTAGTGCGGGGAGAACTTAAATTTAATCTTGACAGAAGCAGATTAAGCACGGTTGCTTTACAACTCTTTGTCCATAGATTTTATAAATATTTCTAACTGCAACTATTGGAATATTATAAATAAATAATACACACCTGTGTTTTTCTTTCTTTCTTCTTCAATTAGGATTTTTAGGCAGGGGTTTTGAATTAGAGGTTGTGTGCTAAATGGAGCACGAGGTGATTAGCTCAAAGTTGATGCCTACCCTATGGATTCACACTTCTAGACAGATTAATAGCATTGCAGATATTTAATGAATTTATTTCATCTCTGTGGCTTTCCTGGAAGAACCTACACAACTAGCAGAGCAGCCACGCAGAACTAAGGCACTTCAGCCAAGCTCAGGACAATCTTCCATTTCTGTAGAAAGCTTAGCCAGGACTAACACTCACAGAACTGGCTCACGTGAGATTTATCTTGTGCCTCCACATAATAAGGAGAATGTCCCACACAGCTGTTTCCAAGAAGAGTTTTGCTCTTTGGAAAACAGCAGCTTTCACACAGGCTCCTTTTTCTGCCACTACAAAAGGGTGCTGGGTTTTGACTCTCAGGATGCTGAAGTCAACTGACAGCAGAACACAATCTAGCCCACTGCCTACGACTTTTGAAAGCAACAGTGTGCAGAACAGTTGCAGAAAAGATGCAGCAGAAGGAATCTGCTTGCAGGGAAGCAAACGGAAGTCACGGGGAAGGCAACAGAAAGGCTGACTATTTTGGAGGCACCAAAACAGCAGCAAAGCAGCAAGAAGCAGTAAGATGCAAAACAGCAGGGAGTTTTGCAAGTACAATTGTGTTTCAAAGCAGAATGTCAGTCTTACAAAGTCAGAAATAGAGGCCCTGTAAGGAATAAAGCTGAGATAAGAGTAAAAGGAGACTTGGGAGTGAAAATAAAGGGGAAAAGCAAAGAATGTTTCAGTAACAGAGAAGCAGCAGAGAACTGCAGAAGAACCAAGTGGGAAAGTGAAGACCCATGACACTCTCTGTGTAGGGTGGAGGGAAGGAGGGCAGACAGGGAGCTGAGTGTGGAGCTCAGCTCTGGTGAAAGGCTCCTGCTGCTCATGGCTTTGTGCTCCTACTCACCAGGCCTCACAGAACTTCTTTGACAGGCTGGGTCGGTCTGCGTTCCTCCGGCGCCGGAACCACCTCTCCACCTTCCTCACTGGCAGATCACACTGTTTGGCTAAACTGATCAGCTCACCCTGGAAAACAGGTGAGGAAGCAAAGAGTTCAGATCCAGGTTCAAAGGTCAGAAGGGGCAATATGAGCATCTCCTCTGACCCACCACAGAGCCCAGCCGGAGGCTCCTGGTAAGTCCAAATCTGGTCAAGCTAAGGCATCTTTCAGGAAGCTGTCTGTTCTTAGTGTGAAGACCTCAGCTAGTAGAAAATCTTTCAATTCCTCCCATAAGCTACTGGTTATTAATACTAGATGTTGAAACTTTACATTTTTTATGTGAACTTCTCCAGTTTTAACTTTCAAACTCTGGTCTCGTCTCCTCACAGGGAATTTGTTGTCAAATCGCTTCCTTATCCTGTCTTCAGGGACTGAGTCCCTTAAATCTGTCACTCCAAGAAAGTCTTACTGCAGCTTAAATAACTTTTAAAGTTCTGCACTGAATCTTGCAGTGCCTTTCAGCATTCTGATGCAGTATCAGTCAATACCTTGACTGATGTCATGAGAGCAGAGGCAACACCATTTTCCTACTGGATATCCTCTTGTTGTGGCGAACCTGTTATGGATAATTTTTCAGTAGATTACTCACAGAAATCCTGTAATTACGTTTCTTCTTGTCCTTAGGCTCTTAAGAGCGTGTCATGTTTTATGTTCCTTCTGGAAGTGTCACCATGGATAGCCTTAATTTTTTAAGTAAAGCAGTAGTTCTTCATGGAATGCATTTATCTTAATGGTATCATGTGAGAGTGACTTCCATAGTCTGAGCACGTTGTACAAAAGTATGTTCATTACCAATTTTCAGATGTGATTCTTTCCACTCTTACTTAGTGACTTCTGTTCTTGTGGTGGAGACAAATGAAGACATTGATTTATATACTCCAACTGCTCCATAATGTGGAAATCCTCTCAAGGAGAAGGCTGCTGGGAACAGCAAAATCTCACTTTATCTTGAACAAGTAAAAGCTGACTCATAAGAGAGCTCATGGGAGAGGGAGGAAGCTAGAAGACTGACTGAGGTGTAAGTGGTGAATGGACACAGCAAGGCAGAAGCCCGTTGCACCGTTCTTGCTCCATGTCACACTGTTGTCAGGAGTCTCATGGTGAGGACACGCTCCGGTATCACAGATTCTCTGGGATAAAACTGCCAGCTTCAGGGCAGGGTGAGTGCAGGGAGAGCTGTGGGGCAAACCTGCTCGCAGGTAGGTTTTGAGTTAGATCTCTGTGACAGGAGTAGTTTTACTGAGAAACATGTGGATGTTGTAAACAGACAGGCAAGAGGAAGGTCAGGGACCACCATACTGGCAAATATTCCTGGGAACACTCCTTCCCAGTGCTGGGGAGGAAAGCTGGCTGCACAACCCAGGTGAATGCCTGCATTTTTAGTTTAGTTTCCACTCTTTTACTTTTAACCTGTTACTGAATGTCCTGGAGCTCCACACATCCCATTGCAGTACAAACCATGTCACAACAGTCTTGTCAAGGCAGCAACATGTTCACATCAGGACTGCCCCTTGGGACTGGAACCTCAGCCCCGGCTTGTACATCCTCGGTAAGGGTTAAGAGCTATTGTTTCAAGGCCAAGAAAGCCCGAAAAAAGGAGCTGAAAGAAAATCTGATTCCTTTCCCTAGCACAGGGGTCACATTCAGGGACTTCACAGACAAGGTTAAATCCTAATACTGCCTGACAATTCACAATCCTGCCAATGCAGCAGCCATCACAATCCTCAGCAGCAGCCATTATAACTCTGGATTACCCAGCCAAGTTCTCCAAGATCACTCTTTTTATCTCTCATGGGAAAACTATCCACCAATAGTGCCTGCAGTTTTCTGTTGTTTCTTACAATCTCTGTGATGATGGCCGAGACTTTAGTTGGCTTCCTGAAAGGTCAATCTCAAACTGATGGATTGCACAGCAGCAGAATGACCCACCCCAGAACTAGGAGCATCAAGCAATCCACATCTGCTGAGCTGCAAGGACCAGCAACATGGGAGTCAGTTCAAGGCAGCAGATGTGACAGGGGTTTGCTAATACCTGAAAAGAAGTCATCACAGAATCACAGAGTGGCTGGGGTTGGAAGGGACCTCTGGAGGTCATCTGGTCCAACCCCTCTGCTCAAATAGAGCCTCCTGGAGTTGGTTGCCCGGGACTATGTCCAAATGGCTTTTGAGTATCCCCCAAGGATGAAGATTCCACAACCTCTCTGGGCAAGCTCTTCCAGTGCCTGGTCACCCTCACAAAAGAAGGTGTTTCCTGATGTTCAGACAGAGCCTCCTGTGTTTCACTTTGCGCCATGTGCAAGACAAATGCCAGATGGAACAAGAGTTCTCGTTATTTCCTTTGTGAGAAGAGTTTCCTGTTCACAGAAGTTTGGGATTTAAGTTTTTTGAATGTTACCTATGGAAAGCTGCTACTCCCAGATGTTCAGAAGCAGAACTGATAGCTGATGGCATCTGTAGAATGACCCTGTGGCTGGCTGGTGTCAGGTGGCCAGTGCTATAGTAGTTCCTACTGCTTTGTTGAGCTGCCAAATATGTGTGGCATTACCAAAATTCAGGATTCCAAATGTGATTTTATTTGGCTAAAGACACAAGGGCTAAATCTCAACAAAAGCAAAGGAAGAAAGGACTCACCTCTTCAGGGGTCTTGCAGCGCGTATTGTAGAATGTTTCCAGCATGGGGTTGGGCTGAGCTTTTGGTCTCTGCTTGTCTTTCACACCCAGTTTGCTACTGAGGGGCAGGGCTATGGCTCTGCAAAAGGAAAGATAAAGGCTCAGCCAAAAATAGAACAGTGATTTCTGATATTGCAGCACTGTTAAATCGTGATGTAGCACATAACGGTTGCCTCCCACATTTTGAATCTAAGCACAAGTATTACACCAAGCAGATAAAATAGATAAAGAGACTGAAAAGAAAAATAAACAAACAAATTTACAGCACAAACAGTGGGGCTTGTGTTCTACTGCCCTCAGCTCTGTGCTATAATATCCAAAATTACTTGAGGTTAGGAAATGTTATACCCTGCTTTGTCAACTTCTGAATCCACAGTGCTGGGGTGTCTGGGATTATGGCACGAAGCCCGGGCTTGCAGACACAGCCATGATACCTATCACTGTCTCTGGTCTGCGTGCAGCTCATGCAGAGAACCACGTTGATGATAAGGCCTAAATGTTGTTCACTGTTTGATCTAGAAGACTGAACATATACGACACCCACTTGAACTATGGATTTGGCTTGGGATCAAGAAAGAGGCTCTATCAGATGTGTGGTATTAATCATAGAATTATAGAATGGTTTGGGTTGGAAGGGACTTTAAAACTCATCCAGTCCCAACCCCCCTGCCAGCAGCAGGGACACCTTCCACTAGACCAGGTTGCTCAAAGCCTCATCCAACCTGGCCGAGAACACTTCCAGGGAGGAGCAGCCACAGCTTCTCTGGCCAACCTGGGACACTGGCTCACCACCCTCACAGCCAAGAATTTCTTCCTCACATCTCATCTCCATCTCCCCTCTGCCACTTTCAAGCCATCACCCCTTGTTCTATCACTCCCTGCCCTTGGCCAAAGTCCCTCCCCAGCCTTCCTGGAGCCCCTTCAGGTACTGGGAGGCCACTAGAAGGTCTCCCCGGAGCCTTCTCTTCTCCAGGCTGAACAGCCCCAACTCTCTCAGCCTGTCCTCACAGCAGAGCTGCTCCAGCCCTTAATGCAGAAGAAATGTCCTGCTGAGAAGGAGGCCATTTGGTCTTAACTGGAGTAACCTACCTCCGTTTTTCCTAATGCAACTCAAACATCAATTGTAAAATAAGGACATAGTAACTAGAAACCCAGTCACAAGGAACAGATGCTTATACTAGCTGTGCATCTTACAGTGAAACAATGCAAGGAAAAAAACCTGAAGAAACAGAAAAAAGTTACCAAGAGGTAACAAAACTGGGCATAGAATTGCTGTGCTCAACAGTCCAACTCCTCCACTACAAACACTCTTCTCTCTCTTGGCAACAGGAAACAGCCTCATCACAGGTGTGAGGTCAGGTCCTGCATGGACACTGCACAAACAGGAAACGGATAATCAATGTTTTTTTGAAAAAAGCCCACATTAACTACAACCTCCATGAATTTCTGGAGAATGAGTTGTTCCTTACTAAATGCTCCCTTTTACACACTGCCACTAGCAGTTCATCCCGTCAGAAGAAGAGGAGACTGTCTGCCTAGAAGCTCTTGTCAGCACCATCACAGAAGAACCGACACACAAAATCTCTGGAAAACTTTATCTCTGCATTTGGAGTAAAAGTTTTTTGCTCAAGGTGCTAACAGCTTCCCTGAACAGTTACTGGGTTATCAACTGTAAATTGGTGTTGAGGGTGGTTATGAGCTGAGACCCAAGGCTGCTCTACCTGGTCAGTCTTCACACTGTGAAGGTCAGAGGCAGGTCCTCTGATCAGTTATCCCTAATGATTCAGATACGGAACAAGATTTTTTATTATTTTTTTTCCTTTTTTTACTTTTCATCAAAAAAGTTGTGGAAGCTACTTCACTACGTAGGTGTTTAAAGATGTTTCACTTCAAAATAGTATGGGATATATTTATGACTGTGATGATGTGGTTGCCTGTGGTCTCTTCTAGCCATATAGCCTATACTCCATATGCACATGTGCTCAGGGACTATTCTAGATCAAGCATCATTCCAGAAGTGGCTTTTATTAATTTCTTAATTTAATTAATAGGGATCAAAAGCAATTTTATAAACAAGCCGCCCACCTAAGGAATGTTGTAACTTCTATTACATTAAGACATCAAACACAGAAGGGTTACACATTTCTCTCACTCATGTAACAACTGATTTCCATATTTTTTTTGCACAGCCAGCCCTCTGGCTTGGATACCAGTTGTTCTTTTTCATCATCTCTGGGGAATTCCTTTGGCATCACTGACTCCATGAACATTCAAAGATGTACCAAGACCAATGAAAAAAAAATATGTTTCTACCATGAGAGAAGGGCCAGAGGTAAGTGTGCTTGCTAGCTAGCTTCCAACAAAACACATTGTTATTGTAAAAGCTGTGTGTAAGTGTTGAGTAGTTCCAGTGAAATTCAGCAGCGCCCTGACATTGCTGCAACTGCAGAGTGCTGGATGGCAGAGGAATAGAGCCATCACTGGGAATTTCGGTTTTTAGCTCTGATGATTGAGGAAATGGCCTCAAGTTGTGCCAGGGGAGGTTTAGATTGGATATGAAGAAAAACTTCTTCACTGAAAGGGTGGTCAAGCATTGGAACAGGCTGCCCAGGGAGGTGGTGGAGTCACCTTCCCTGGTGGGATTTAAAAGATGGGCAGACGAGGTGCTCAGGGACATGGTTTAGTGGTGGAATTGGTAGTCTTGGGTTTATGGTTGGACTTGATGGTCTTAAAGGTCTTTTCCAACCACTACAGTTCTATGATTCTATTCTGTGATTGCTCTTAAGAAATGTTTCAATTGTATTTTATGATTTGTTCAATATCAAAAGGGTGAACAGTGACACTGGACCAGCAGGTTCTGTGCCAAGAGCAATGACACAGAATTTCAATGATATCTGTAACTACACTGAAATTGAGCAAACATTCATAGAATCACAGAATGTTGTGAGTTGGGAGGGACCCACAAGGATCATCGAGTCCAACTCCTGTCCCTGCACAGGACAATCCCAAGATTCAGACCATGTGTCTGAGGGTCTTGGCCAAATGCTTTTTGAAAATCTCTGCACTAGGTCTTGAGTCTTAAACTAAGCTGTTCCTTGAAGTGGGCCTGATCCTTCCTTTTCAAAGATAAGTCATTTGATACAAGCTCCTCGGAACAGGAAGATGTAATCAAGTTCTGTTGTTGAAGAAGAACCTTACTGCAGTTTCTTATCAACCTACATTGGGAACTGAAAGGTCTAAAATTTTCCAGCCACATTAAAAGGAAAGAGAATGTTTCTGCCAGATGTCAGGGCAACTTGCCAACAAGTATTTTATCGAACTACTTAAAGTATTCTGACTGAGCTCTTAATTTTGTTTAATCCCTGTATTCTCTCTTTCCTGCTGGTTTGTTATAGTCATGGCATAAAATCTCACCATAAGAGAAACAAGCTAGTTGCAGTTGATGAAGACAGGGGGTAATTAACCAAAGTTACAATTACTTTGTTGTTGAGGTTTTGAGTTTAACCATGAATTAGGGGACCAATCCTACTGTTATGAACATCATTGGGAAATCAAGGCCTGAAATTCTTCCTAAGGAATGTTTGTACATGTTGGATATATGCTCTGACTCAGTTTTCAGTTAAATCTTGTGCCAAGTACAACCCAAAGAGAATGATGCTTGTACTGATTTCAACACGACAGATCAGCTCATCATCTCAGCTGCAGAGATGGTCTCATCATGGCAGTTTATCAGCTGCCTGGCAGATAGAAGGAGAAAGTCCGAGGACTAAAACGTTCCACTCTCCACATGCTCACCTCAAGCCTGCTTCTTCATCAGTGAGCTGCTCTCACTTCACACTTTACAGGGGAAAGGTCGTGCTAAGGCATTTTATTCAGTAATCATCACAGAACAAACCGTCTTGCGCAAAATCTGCTGAAGTTGAAACTAAATGGATTAATTGTGAAGGGGCATAAATTGATACTCCCCCACCTTGCAAGAGTGGGCTACACTCCTTCTGCAGAGGCTTTCAGAGTTAGTGTGAGATACAAGAAATAATTTAACTCTGGGGGATTTGGGGGTGGTTTTTTTACCACAAATGTTTTTGTAATTTATAAGGGTGCCACTCTGCAAATATCTTCTAGTACTAACAAACACAGAACCAGTGAGAGCAGCAACCAGAACTTCCATTCTTTGAACTGCACAATCTATTTCAGCCTCATACTTTCCTTTGGCAGAAGGTTGTGCTCCTGGACCAGTCTTGACCTTCTCTTGATTACAGGAGAATGCTCCACATCAGTTAAAACTGACTGTTTGATACAAGATCTCAAGTCACTACAGTGCTACTGTCCAAACTGAGTCAAATCAGTTCCCACTTTTTAATTAAATCCTACATGTCCCACATCTTTGCACAAAAAACCTGCCCATAGGACCTGACAGGAAGCTGTTTTCAGATCCTTCCTGATTATTGATCAACAACAAAAGTCTCTGTGCAAAATGAATTTCAGAAAGATACATTTCAAACTAAAATACATGAAAAGGGCATCCTCTTCCATCTTCCTTCTGGTTCTGAGTTCAAGTATTTGTTCCCTGCAGATCAACAGTATCTCTTTCTTTTAATATACAACACATGGCTCAAGTACTGTCGCAGCCCTCCTAAGAGACCTAATCTTTCTGATTAAAGTCCTCCTCTATTGCAATTTGGGAACTATAAGGATTCAAAATCACTAACATTGGTTTTCAGTTCCCCAGCATCCAAAAATCACTGGTCAAGACCAAAATCAGATAATTAAATTCGATATAAATTCTGTTTTTCAACTTTCTGCTTTACTGTCCCTCAAAGCACATCATTTTCCACATTTTCTAACCAAGAAACACTTTGCAATAGAGGCTGTGATTCCTTCAGAATCATATAAAACTCCAAGAAGTTGATTTTTATGGAAAAGGGTCTCAAATATGATAGAACTAGAAGAGAAGCCGACATCCCTGCTTGCAGGGACACACCAAAGGAGAAGTTCTGTTACAGGTGCTTAAAATCAGGCTCCAAATTACAGGTGCAGCAGACATCTCCTACGCACAAGCACAACCTGGAAACAGCAAGGCAAGGGGTGAGGTTCTCAACTTCTAGGTTCTCTCTTTTGTCAGGACATTATTACCCCAGCATCATTACCCCATACCCCATCATCCCCCAGCATCTGCTTCAGTATTGTGGCAAAGACTAGGAGCACTGCAGTGGTAACAAGTTGTTCCAGTAACAAATGTCCCATTTTCCCACCTTCCCCAGAGCAAACTGGCTCACAGAAGAGTTGCTTCACCAAAGTGTGAGCTGTTTCTTCTCCCCCAGGACTGCACCCACAACCTCCTCAGCTCTCCCATGCCCCACCCAGCTACTGCATGTCCTCTTCCCACAGCCACCATCTAATCCACAGAATAACTGATTGTTAAAAGGATGTCGCTGTCACAGTTTTTCCCAGTTCAGCCAGCAGGTGACAAGGAGAGGAAAATCCACACTGGAGGAAGCAGGGTCTTGCCCAGGTTTAACCTCCAAACCAAGAAGATGGAACCAGGGGCCAAGCACAGTGGCTGATGCAGTTATTGAATGAGGGATTGCAGCAGATCCTCTGGGCTTCTCCTCCAGCTTAGTATTTTCCTGGAGTTCTGACACAGATAAATGACATGAACACGCTACAGAATTTCTGAAATCCTGGAGCAGGCGCCCCCAGGAACACAGAGCATATCTAGAGAAAAAAAAACATGCACCTGATGCACAGTTGCAAGTAATAGGTGAGGGCAGAATAAACTGCCAGAGGCCAAATTAAAGTCACCAAAACCAAACTCATACACTAGTTACATACACCCATTTTGGACCACAGACCAGATGCACAAAGCTTTAAAGTCAAGGCCATCTGCATGGAGATATTTCTCTGCATGAGAAATAACACACATATCTTTCAGTCTCCAATTCTCAAACTTTGTGCAAATTATTTTGAACAGGGCTAGTGCCACTGTACACACAAGGTAACTGAGCAACAGAGGATTTGATTCATACCTCCCGTTCTCTAGGGCAAGCTTTCTTCTCCAGGATGAACTGAAAGTGAAACGGTAATGACTGAGAGTGAGAAAATGTCATGCTGAAATGAATAACCAAGTGCAAGATCCTGCGCCTGGCTCAGGGCAACCCCAAGCACAAACAC